AACCAAATTTGTTACACGCGCACTCACGTTCAGAATATCAAAAATAATAAATGAATTTGCTAATAAATAATAAAAAATAATAAAAATAATAAAAAATCAAGCCAGAAAAATTATCATTAAATGAATGTCTTAAGTAGTGGTTTATAGTTTATTAAATGTTTAATTTTATTAGTTTTTATTCAATGTTATATATTTGTAGTTTATATTAAGTGTTATATATATATATATATATATATATATATATATATATATATATATATGATTTAGTTGTTAATTTTGATGTTGAGATATATGAGTAAGTTCTTGTGGGGCGATACATCAAAAAATAAAAAGCAAAGATTTATAAATTAATCTTTATTTCCAAACGTTTTGACATTCAATTTAATGTCATCATCAGTGGATATTGACGTTGGTAGGTTACATCTAAGATGTGTACACAACACTAGAAATTAGCACCAACATTTATACATCTAACTTGTCCACACTATGAATTTTTATCATTTTTTGTAAGATGTAAAAAGAAAAATGATAGTTTTATTTGAACAAAAATGTAAGTAAAATTAAGTAATTTTTGCCACGACTTGTGAAATGTGCAAGTTCCGAAGCTTTACTCAGTACATTTGGAATTAAAGATTAATTTAGAAATCTTTGCTTTTTATTTTTTGATGTATCGCCCCACAAGAACTTACTCATATATATATATATATATATATATATATATATATATAAAGCTATCTATGAACTCTTAATACTCTAATTTTCTCCCATATTATCTTTAGTTTATAATTTGTACACTTTAAAATGTAATTATATTGTATTATTGCCCCGGGCATTGAATAAATAAATAAATAAATAAGTATTATTTATACCTTTTTTAAACGTAGTTTTCTTGCTAAAGCCATTTTTATGAGGACTTTTTATTGTTTTCTTTGAATTCTTCAAATTCTTGTCATTATTTTGTTCATTTTTGGGATGTTCTGTAGTCTTCAATTTCTTGTTTTTATTTTGTGTGTTATCCTCTGAAGAACGTTTTTTAGATTTAATCATTTTGATTTATTGTACTTTAACCTAAATCGTTATATTTGAAAACAATAATTATGAACAATAATAAGTTTTTCTTTAATATAAACACTTTATTTCCTTAAAACACGTGCAGTTTAATTATAACCTATCAAAGTTTGTCAAAAAGATCATCTCTTGAGAAAAACGATATAATGTGCCTATTTCAGGCTGTCATATTATTAGTTGATTTCAATTTTTGCCGCAAGAGGCGCGCCAGGTGTTTGTTGATTCGACTTATTTTGACACTTGCTGCTTTTAGTAATTTTATAAATGTGAACTAGTGAAACATCTTGAAATTGTGTAAAGCCCGCTGTTTAGTTTGAATAATTCAAAAGAAAATCGAAAAAATATCTAATTAATGGCAGATAATGCGGATGATATCGAATCTGGAGATGTCTCAGATCATACTGCTTCTGAGGAGGTACTAACGACAATTTTTATTTTATTCGATTGAAACTGTCAGTTTCACCAGTACTTTATGAAATTGAATGTATAGACGACAAATTTTTAAATTATTTTCATTGATATTTGCCAATTAGTTTTCCATGTATTGCGAATAACTTAAATTAAAAATGAATAACAATATCTATCTGAATCAAGGAATTTAAAGTGAGTATTCAATTCTATATAGAAATGATAATGTGATGAAATTTTGATCATTTTATGTTAATGTTTACATTTGATTTGATCGTTTACCATGAATAACTCCTGATTATTATTTACACATGATGTGTATTCCCACTCGATTATTAAATTCGCTGGGCCTTTCATAGCTCTTTTGAGAATGATTTGGATATGTTGTGTGATATTGCTTTTAAATTGTTACATTCTGTGTTATGCTATTTTGTGTTTTTAATTTTATTATGTATTCTACTATATTGTAATTTATCTATATTATATGTATAATAATTGTATTTCTAAGTCGTTTTGGAACTATTCTGCGGGCTATGTGTTTAAAAAATAAATAAATTTGCACAGCATTACCACATAAAATTGCTCTGATCAATTGTAGGTCAGAAAATATGGCAATTTGAATAAAATGTGCAATCACAAAAACTTGTACAGTTGTATTATTGAAGTTTCTATTACAAGCTTTCAATAATGAACATTCTTTGGCAGTACAATTTGCAGGAAGCAGGCCCACTTTTTTAGACTAAAAATTATTTGGTACATTAGTTAATTACTGCAGTTTCACGTATAATAAAGTATGATTTCAGAAAGTTTGTTCAATTTTTAACATACTCAGAGCAAATAGAGTAGCATTAACAATCTATGACAAATTAACTATGCTCCTTGATAAGCCTCCTAATTAATTTTAAAATTATTTGTTATACCAAACAAAATAAACAAATTTAAAATATTATCATAATAGATTCTTATGTTCTTAAACAATTTTGAACATTAATTTCTATTATCCAACAATAATTTTATGAAAAGATCTAAATGGCATAATTTCGTTTCCCGTGTCACCTAGTATTTGTGTGTTTATGTAGATATAAATTTCTATGCTTGTACTGTAAATGATTCTTCATTAGTAAAGAGTCGTTTTTTTTCTGGAAATATTGTTCAGCATGATAATTACTTTTACACTAAAATTAAAAAAAAAAAATTTAATGAAATAATTGGCTATGTATTTTAAATATAGCATGGGTATATAAAAATAATAGAAAGTGTGTTAGTTTTGTTTGAATGTGCTGTTTTTTTTTTTTAGTCTTGTTTCATTTCTGTATAAATAGAAAATATAAGTGTTATTAGTTTTCGTGTAGACCAATGTGAGATTTTCATATCGCTTTGTTTTTCTAGCATATTTATAATACATATTAAACATTTGGAATCAGGTTCATTGTTTAAGGCGATCATTATCAATTTCTTCAAGCATAATAAATTTATTATTGTTAAAACAATGTACTGATTTATAATCGTTCATTATGGTACCATCTTCATTTAAAAATCAAATAGACACACAAGAAAATTTAAAAAAAACTTGAATTTGCAATATCAATATCAAATTAACCAAATTGGTTTTGATCATAATTAACATAATTTTTGTGGAACAGGAAGCAGTGGAACTAATACAAGAAAAACGTGATTTAGAACCAAGTTTATATGGAATTAAACCAGCACTCAAGGACAAGTTTAATATTCCAGCCATCAGAGAACTTATAATATCTATTCTTCACAGTACTCTGGATGGCCAAATTTATTTGCCACATACTGCCAAAACAATTACAATAGATCTGGCTAATGCAATAAATAATTCCATTAAAGGCTTGCAGCAGAGCCGTTATAAGCATATAGTACAGGTAAGCATTATATATTTTAGGAATATAACATTGTTGAACATTTAAAATGTTTGGTAATTTATGGTGCCATATTCACTTCACATGTTTGAAATCGCCTTTCCTATATTTTATGCATTTATTAGGCTATATTTATGCATTTTTTTGATACAGAAATATTACAAATTTAGGCGCTCTTCATAGTTACTAAGAGAATATTTTTTGAATCATATAAATTGATTAGAATTAATGTCTGATTAAAACTAAGTAATTTTTATCAAGATATTACAGAAATTTTGAAAAAAATATATGTCTTGATCACATTAAAAAAAAAAAAATTAATATAAGTTGCAAAAGTATACTATTTTTTAATATCATGATGTTTATTTTCTGTGAGATCTATTTAATTTTCACAGGTGGTTTTAGGCGAACAGAAAGGTGCAGGAGTGAAAACAGCCATGCGAAGTTTGTGGGATATTGAATGTGATACATATGTATCAGAAGAATATAAAAATCCATCATTATTTTGTTTAGTAGCTGTTTTTGGTATCTATTTCTACTGAATATATAAAAAAATAGATAGACACCATCACATTGATGATGCTTATTGTAGGGAATTGTTTATTTTTACTACAATTGTTTAATTGAATGCCTGTTCTGATATTTATTTGTTGTAAAGCTCTACTTTTGTAGTGTAGTTCGATTGTTAAAATTCTCTGAAAGTTGAAAGTTCATTTGATAAAGACTGTTGCAACTGTATCTTCATTGTCTCGATTTTTAAATATCAAAAATTACATAATATATGTTACTTTATATTAATGTCAACTAGTCCTATATAAAATTTATACTGTGAATCATAAATAACAGTCATAGATGTAAGTTTTTTTCCACCTTCTCAAAATATTTTGAGTGGCATTGTTTTGATATTATTTTGAATCCAGTGATTCATTTCTCTGTTGTTAATAATAAATCCATTTACTTTATTTTAAAAATGTCAGACCAATTTTATATTTTTAAATGTGATTGAATAATATAAGTAATATAAAAAATAGCCATTTTAATTAGTATTGCAATTTTTAGATTTCTCAAAAATTTGTTTATTCTGCAGAAGTATGAGTTGGAAATTGAGTTGATAAAATTTCTAGAAATAAAACATTTTACCAGCCTGTTCCGTAAGCAATCCAAGATACTTTGGAGTTCAGAGTAATAAAAGTGCTTATAAATAATATATGTAGATTATCAAAAGCAAAGATAGAGATATAACATGCAGATTTGAGTAGGAATATATATCACATAACAATGTTATTTTTGTGATAATGCTATAATTAATTACAATCTACTAATTAAAGAACAAGATTCTTACCATAATTGATCCTACGAGACAGATAGCAGGGTAATTGAGCTTAATAATATACAGATTTACTGTATCAGAAAGAGTTTTTAAGTTATGTATGCAAAATGTTCTGCAACAAATCAAATTCTGGATGATAATTTACTTTTTAACAAAGTTTAAATTCAAATTATTGTTTATTTGTAGCAAATATTGCTTACAGGATATAACATATAATATATAATTTTTTATTAAATGTTTTCACTCCATAGACTATAAAAAAATATTTAAACAAATATTTCTCTCTCTCTCTCTATGTATATTTTATATTATTGTCCTTTAGGTATCAATTTATCTAAAAATTCTGAATGGCTTTGTAATAACTCAGTAATTGTTTCTTCAGGCTTGTTCGTTTCTGTATCATATTCAGGGCCAACAGACCACAGCATATCAATATCATATTTCTGTCGTACTTTCTTCAAAAATAAATGAACAGCTATATTTCCTAAATCCAGAGCAATCCATTCTTTAGAATTAGCTCCCTCGATCTTTGGTATTGGATCATCCTTGGATCTTTTCTTTTTATAAATCTTTCTAATAAACTCCGCAATACCTAACATATGTTTTGTATTTCTGCATGTAACAGAGCACATGTAATCTATATATTTAAATGATTTTGGTACTGCTATAACACACAAATCTTGTCCCTTATTTAGTCTAATAACTTCTACTAATTCGTCTATATCGAATACTCCAGTTACTCCTCTTTTAAGAACATTGTTTGTAATATCATGTAGTTCTTTGTCGTCTTCAAGTTCTTCCATTTCTTTTCTTTTACGTTCCTCTTCAATATCGAAAATTTGTGGAGAGATTTTGTCTTCGAATTTTTCATATTTAAGTTCCTTGGAAATATTATGATCGAAACTTCGGGAACAAAATGGTTTATAAATTACTTGCGCAAAATTTATGTCATTGTTCAATTTCGATTGAAAATTGTTTTTCAGTTGTATTTTCCGCACACACCCGTATAGAAAGCGATACATTATTTATTAGGTTATAACATTTAAAAAAAATATTTATTTATGATTTTTATGCGCAGGCAGAAAATAGATCAATCAAAGTTTATCACTATTTATTGTAAAATAAAAAGTTAATAATATTTAATTGATTTAATTAATTAAGCAATATAAAATAAATATTTTTTTCATATTATGAATTGATAACCCCAAATTACTATTCTTGTCAGTTTGACAGTTAGGTTAGCGCTGGCTGCCAATATTAAAGAAATAAACAGTTTTTTCCGTCTTAAATTGGTGACCATTGTCTCGGATATCGACATTTACCGGATTTTTTTAAAAAGCAATATTAATCCCGGATTCAGTTTTTTCCGGGATATCTTATCCATCTTATCTATGAAAATACGCGACATAAAATATGTTCACTAAAAGCGGCGATATTTATATTTTATTTTGAAGATAAATAAATATAATAAATAATATAGAATTATCTTATTAAAAACTAGTGGGGCGTATGGAATCGTGCCTTAAGGCAAATTGCTGGAACTTCCCGTACCAAAAATTATTATTTTTTTAAAACGATTAACATTTTTGAAAAAAAATTATTTCGAAAAGATTAGATTTTTGAGAAACTATAAATTCTACAAAAAAATTACTATTTTTTGAAAAAAAAAATTGTTTGAAAAAAGAAGTTTTCTTTATTTTGGCATAGTTTGAAAATTCTGAACTTTGTTTCAAAGCAATCGCACTGCTTTAACTGCATAGAGACGAAATGTCAAAGCGCGTAAGCGCCGCGTCGCCGTCTAACTGATAAATATTGGTACGGAACCCATAAATTCATACTTGTTGTTAAAATCTCTATAAAATATCTGATAATTTGATGTGCATATGTCTAATAATCATTTTTGACCGCCAAATAGCTTTTTGTTTTACTTTTTTCATTAGATCTCCGAAACCGCTACATCTGCCTTTATGAAAATTTGATCAATTCTTCATCTTGTCAATACAAGTAAAATGTTTTCTGAATTTTTAAAATCGGACACTCCGTTCTCCTAAAAACCGTGTTACCGTTTTTGGCACTTTTTGCCCCGTATCTTCGGAACGGCTAGACCTGCCTCCACCAAAAACTAATCAGCACGTCTCCTCATCAGTACGAATAGAATGTTTTTTAAATTATTTAAATCGGTTAATAGGTGTTCCCGAAATCGTCGACGAAAATTTGTATCCGCACACACACACACGCACACACACACATACACACACATACATCCATTTTTTCTAAGGCATGCCAAAATATTCAGAAACCTTTGAAACGTCGAGAAATGCAAAAATTTTTATTTTCGATTTTTTGCGATTACTATAACTTACTCTACGGGAAGTTAAAAATATAAAAAAATATTCATTGTATAAGTAAATCTGACCAAAAAAATATTTACTAAAAGGAACTGTTTATTTATGTTCTTATAAGGATACCTATAAACTGATTGTTATTAAATCAGTTTTTTTAATCAGACCTTTTAACAACCTATTTTTTGTCTCAATAATTTTTTTAATCTAAATTACTTCCAATTAGTTCAATTATTTTTTAACTATGGTCTTTTTTGCTCTTGTATTATATTTTGAACATTTACCACACAACAAAAGGGTTGAACCAACTTATATTTTGTCAACTCTTCGAATAAAACGTCTGAGCCCTAGACAATATTAGAATACCCCGTGGTGTGAGCTCTCGGGCCATCCTCGGGTCAACCCAGTACGCATAGTGTGGATGGTCGAGTTTGATCGTGGGTCTAAATGCGGCATTTGGGTTGAGAATAGTTCGATCGTTTTTTTTATGCATAAAGCATGTTAACCCTTTGAGGAGGAGCGCCGCATATATGCTTTTTGCAGCAATCATCAAATTAGCCGAAGAACTCATATTATGCGTTTGACGAAGACGAAGTTGTTAGAGCCGAGGAACGCATATGTATCCCACCTAAAAACATGTCGATAGCCGTGGAACTCAATGTTAGTAAACCAAACTGAATAGTTAATAAACGAACATTTTATTTATCATGTGGAAACTCTATGTATATAAATTTAAAATACATGTCCAGAATTTGAGTTGGAGTGCTGAAATTTGAGTTAGAATGCAGAAATATGCGTGGCAATTTTAAATGACTGTCGGGCAGGAGTTCGGCCGCAAGGTACAGTTCAATTCAAACCGTCCCGTCCCCAATGGGTTAGTTTTCTAAATCACATAACATAACTATCTCTGCTAAAGGTTTTTGTCCCGTATTTGAAACAAAGAAATATGGTTACTTTGGGTCGCTGAATGTTTGGAAAACGGGTAGTAATTCCCGTCCCGCAGAATGTCTGTTAATTTTCTTTTTTTGTTCTTTGGACCTATATTTGTTAAATCAACAACTTTTACGATTTTCTTTATTATGAGAGCTATTACACAAATGGCTCTCGATTTATATGCAATTTGTAAAAACTTATCCAAACATATTGAACATATAAATACTCATAATAATATTAAAATAAATGCTTTTGACAACAATAACTTTATTATACTAAGAAGTACAGCGTAGAACAACAGTCACGTATATTTTTGATTGTATTACGGCATTATGCGCATGTGGTTTCACAATGATATTGAAAAAATGAAATATAAATTTATAGAAAATATAGTTCTTTTTACTTCATAACACATTAACAAAAATCAACAGTAGGAATAGGTGAACTTTTAATTTTCACGAGTGCAAATTATAACAATTGCAAATGATTTTCCAAGTTAAATTCATTTAAATGTAATATGAAAACACAGCGCCTTATATTATTATTATCATTATTATGTTTATCAGTGATGTAGTCTTATTTAGATTTAGACTATATGGTCAATTTTGCTTTTATCAGCAAGTAAAACTTGTAACATCATAATATTACAAATCGCTTAAAGCTAAAACAGAATTTACATATATGTATAAATATTAGTTATTGTGATTGATTGTAATCTGTTCAATGTTATACTATTATATCACAGAAATTCTACACATAACTTGAGTAAAATAACTCGAAATTTAATTTTATTTTTTTTCAGCTAAATATCAGTCGATTGGAATTATTTATCTACATATTCACATTTTTTTGATTTGTTTTATTTCTGTATCTATATATGTAGACAAACACTCACTCACATATACATCTAATAAGATCACAATTAAATTTTCATTCGACATTAGAAGAGAATTTTATAGTAATGTTTAAAAGATCCGTTCAAGTAAGTGTCCCTTACTCTTTTATCGACATTATAAATTTATTTCTTATATTTGTTTTGATGTAATATATTTTAATAGTTTCTTTTGATATACTTAATATATTATAATACATATTATATCAAACACCGAAGAAGATTATATATTACAGTATGTGCTATTTAATTTCATTAATATACATTAAACATTTTTTATTATTATACTTACTAAAATACAAACAAGTTGATTAGATTTAATTTAAATTTCGAGTTATTTTTTCAGCTTCTTGTTATATAGATGAATTGATTATGATTGGTATAACAATGTATGTAGATTAAAATCAATTCGATTCGATTATGAAATATTGTCCGTTTATAAAAATAGTTATTTAAAAGATCAACTTAAAAAATTCACATAAACGAACTTGTGATAACAATTTTTGCAGCCATTCAAAAATTCTTATCTTAGTATTTTTTTATCAAAATAGAGTAAAAAATTAATATTAATTATTTAGTTTTCAAATATAGTTTTCAGTTAGAGATATAGATTAACATTAAACATACATATATAACAGACTTAATCGAAGTTTATTTTATTGGTCGTTTCACTTATTATTTATAAATATATATTTCGAGGTAGTACCTTATAAAAACACAGAGTTGTATCTAACTTGTAAGCAACATCATTTTTCATATTCTATCAAGTTTACATTTAGTTTCATATAATATAATTTACAATAAAATACACATTTGCATAACTTCATTATAATTTACTATTTATGTTACTTTAAATTGATTTTAAAATTTATAAGTAACAGTTCAATTGAAGGTAATTAAAAGAAATTTGATTTATAGATATAGTATTAGTTCAGTTTTGATCATGCTTATAACAGTTTAGAGAATGTATTCATTAGAAACTTGAAAGACTTAATTTTTTTTGCCGAAAATTAATCTTCAGTTTCATAATAATACAGAATCGTATGCAATTAATGCGATGCAACGGTCCTATAAATTAAATACTTATAAATTACATAAACTTTAGTTATTTGGACGTTGTGAACTTATATTTTCTATTGAATAAATAGATGAATTTTCTCTATAGAAGCCATCAGATATGTTCTTAGTGTACTTCTAATATGTTAGTCTTGATTTTAAAGGTAAAGACACGCAAGTGCATTAAAAGAAAAAATCTCTACAGAAGGTTTACTCAAAAAGGCAAAAAGTTTTGTTTGTTTCTGATGAACTCAAATATAAACAGATTTAACCATATATAATAAAATAGGTTAAATTTATTAACAACTGAGAAATGTTCTTGCGCACTTTAATATATCCTTTTTAAACAAAATAAAATATAAATCTTATCAAGTCTCGCGCCTAAATTCAAATTATTGCAGTAGTTTATATAGATACATTATGATGCAATTTGAAATTATTGCTTAGAAAATGTTTATGAAAAATGTTCATAAAAAATTTTTGTTAAATACTTAGTGGAAGTTACAGAAGAATATAATGAATTAGTGCCATTATTTTGAGCATATAATATTAATTTATTGGCAATTTCTCGTTTGCGTTT